TCTCTGTGAGGAGGAGACACTGCRGGATCTTGTTACTCTGGAGAAGGGAAGATTGAGGGGGCAGCTCATCAATCCACACAAATATGTCATCAAACATATAAAGATCTCCAAGGGGTGTCAGAGGATGGGACCACACTCTTTTTGCTAGGTGGTGGCCCAGCAACAGCCATTAACTGAAACACAACAAGTTCCACCAGAACATGAGGAAGAGCTTCTTTCCTGTGCAGTGWCAAAGYRCWTGTMCAGAGAGAGTGTGGAGTCTCCCTCAGGGGGAATATTTCAGAGGGATCTTGACACAATCCTGTGCCATGTGCTCTTCTGGAACAGGGAGGGGGGATAGATGGACCCCATGATCCCTTCCACCCGATCCATCGTGGATTCTGTGACTTTGTCCTCCCTGGTACCACAGACACCACTGGGACCAGGACTGTGCTCTGGAGCTGCGCCTTTCCCCACGGCTGGGAACGGACACGGGACAGCTGTTGGGACTGGTTTAACTCCAGCTGGGCAGCACAAGCCCAGGGAAACAACCACAGAGGTGCCAAGGTGCCCTGCAGAGTCTCTCTGTTGCCTCTGAGCTTTGGCATCTGCGAGCAGATGCTCCTGCTCACCTGCAGGAGCTTCCAATCCTATTTTGGCTGGAAAGAGATGCATTGAGATGTTTGCAGTTAATCCCTCTCCTACCCAACCCTGCAGKATTTCTGTGGTGGAAGAAAACCCGACTGAAGGGAATGCAATAAATCTGTTCTGCAGGGAAAAAAACCCAAAACAAACAAAAAAACAAACAAAGGAAAAGAGAAATGGAAAGCAAGAAAAGGGCAGGAGAAAGGGAGGGAACAAAGATGGGAGATAAGAGCACGTCRGTTACCAGAACAGGAAAAAATCAGAGAATAAACAAGGAAGAATCAGGGGGAGAGAGACATGACCCAACATGAAAGAGGAAGCTGAARACACGAGCTCTCCACATCGCTGAGCACGGACTGAGCAGTAATTCCCAAAGCCACAGCTTCCCCAGCCCAGCTTAGGCTGGACTCCACCATGGCAGGCACTGGGCTGGGCTGGGGATAAATGTAATAAAGGAAATTTCAAAAGTGATTCTGCTCTTTGCTTCAGGGACCTTCCTAAAGGCACTCGCACAACACAGGA